CTACAAGCTCGCATGCATTTATAAAAAATATTAATTTTTCATCGATACCCCCACTAAATTCGGGTACCATACGCGCTACATGCTCCACGGTTTTATCGAACCCTATAGAGTAAGCTGATATTGTAGTGTCTGTGGACAGTGTTGTCCCAGCGTTACTATTGTCTCCCATCATTTTTTCACTTATCGGAGTACCCACTACAATCTCAAAAACCTGTGATTTGGATAATTCTACTTTTATAGGACTATCGTCTAACGTTATATTTAAACTACTACGTTTTTTTGGACTATCTGACATATGAGTAGTTACGCTTACCAACTATTGTACATTACTGAATTTTTCATTGAATTGATGTTAACACTTCTAGAAACTCGCTGGTCCACGGCAGATGTTTTGAACTTATTCTTGAGAAGTTGATCAGATTTCCCTTGAATGATTCGGGTAGAAATCTTCGTCTTTTTGATACGATGTATGTGAATATCCCTGGTTTCGGCACCAAATTTTTCCTGTTGCGATCCAGATTTGGAGTTCGGTTGACAAGGGTCGAATCAAATGAATTTACTCGTAGACAAATTAATTATTGTTATAATTTTATTGAATGTTATAGGTTAGTATTTAGACACCTTTTTAAGCACTCTGAGTAACGTTACAACTTAAGACAAATATCTCTAGCATGAATACTGTCAACTAGTCGTCACGTAGAAATAATGTGTCTGGTCTCTCTGATGGAGAGCCCTTATATACTAGACAAACAGTCAGATTACATGGCCTTTCACAAGGTGGTCCCACTTAAGTATTCGCAACAGTTCTTTTATCAACTTTTCCTTGTGACACTTATTAATAGTAATTAATATATCATGCCACGTATGCCGTGTGCAATACTGTCTTAATAATATATTCGTGTGTGGTCCCTCTTACCTTGGCTATCTCAACACATTTGACATTTCCATCAAAAGTGAAAAGTGTAGGTACCATATTTTTTTTCCACTAAAACAACTCATTTATTATTTAAAGCCGTTAGGTATACAAATAAACTATAAATTAATTAAAAATAGGTAAGAACATACTATAAAATATTGATGAATATTATTTTGTACAATATATTAATACAAATAATTTTTATAGCAATAATAAGTAGAATCTGCAGTGCCAAATTCTGAGTTAGTCGGACACGCAAAATATTTATTAATGGGTTCGATCCCGTCTCTAATTTCTATCAAAATAAACTTATCTTATACCAACTGTAACGCCTATCATAGTAATCGGATAAACTTCTGAAAACATATTTGAATTCGTTAAAAAGGTTATTATTATTTGAAAACAACTTTGCCTCTTTTTTTGAAATTAAACTTCTTAACCCTCCAAAATTGGATTTTTAAATTTTAATTATAAAGAATTTTAAAATGTTTATAATATTGAAGTTGAAAAATTATTTTAAAATTATAAGAAAGTCGTTTTCAAGTAAATTGTATGACAAATTCAAATATGTTTTCAGAAATTTTATCGGATAGATAGGTTAGTTAATATGATTGGCATTATATTGATACATTTGACCAAAATAAACAAAATAATTTTATTTGTGTATAATATGTGTACGTGGGGGAGAGCTTCATAATTTATTTTGTACAGTCCCTCACACCAATGATCACATTCACGCTATATGTCACACAAAAAGCAAATTGCCTATATAGACCTCCTTAAAAAAGATCGGGATCGAAGTACGCTCTGCTGTTGTCTCTGTCTTACACACGTCCGACATAAAACATTTTCGTTCACTAGTTTCAATAGTGTGCCTGTGTGCTGTTAGTTTTGATATTAGAGTGAATTGAACTATTATCAAAGTTTTAGGTAAGAACATTATCTATGCTCAAGTGTTGGCGGAATTTTTGATATTTTAATTTTCAAGCGAGATATGAGCATTTTCGATTTGTGTTATTTCACATACTCGTATGTTGCTTAAAAATGAATATATCGAAAATCCACCGACGCTTGAGCATAGATAATGTTCTTATCTAAAAGTTTGATGATATTTAAATTCGCTCTAATATCAAAACTAACCGCACACTATTCAAATTAGTGAACGAAAATTTGATATGTCGTCAGTTGATTAAATAGAGACAACAAACGCGTGAGTTGCATCCTCTTAAAACAAATATCTATATGGTGAATAGTGAATACATAACTGTAAATTGGAAATATTTGTTTTGCATGTTCTTTGAAACTACTCATCCGATTATAGTTGATTTTTTTATAATGAAAGAGTAAATTGAGCGGGTTTTAACAATTTTCCAACCCCTATAGGTAGGTAAAATGTAGCTCACGCATGCACTTTTTTCAGCCCACGAAATCTAATATTTTTTTAAATTAAGAGTTAAAACATTGTGTCTTAAGAATTTATGATAAAATAGCTTAGTATCATGTTCTAAAAACAACTCTTAAAGTCGAAAATATGTATTGAGTATAGGTACCTACAACCTACTGAGTTATTGAGTGTAGCTTGTGTTTCTGAACAAACGGTATATAAATGATTTTATTAAAATTTAATATTTATAATATACAGTTTTTTAATATTTGATAGTATTAAACTTATATAAACTTACTGCATAACTAACATGTAGAAACTTTTGTGGTTATTTATTTATTTTTTTAATATTATATAATATATTTTAATATTAGTAAATTGTTAAGTGAAATATTAAAACATTTAACTATTGTGTACCGCTATAATCTTATGTTGGTTTAATTTTTTTTTCATTTTATAATATTATATAATTTAAAATTTTTAAAAGTATTCCTACTTGTATATAACTTATTAACCACTCTGCCATCCCTTACTGTTTAGTATAATAGCTTATTCCAGCGATTCTCAACCTTTTTGAGTTCGCGACTCCCTATAATGTCACCAAGATGTCCAAAGACCCTTTTATAATGTAAGCATTAAAAAATTGAACCAACTGTTATTATTGTATTTATTTGTGTATATATATTTCACAAAAAAAGGTATATTATGTACACTTCAATGAACGTTTTTATCGACTACCGGACTATCTAAATATATATATATATTATAACACTTACTATTAATTATAAGATTCTAAGTGAAACAATTTTTTTCCCACATGGATTGATGACCCTAAAATAATTGTTGGCGACCCCCCGGTTGAGAATCGCTGGCTTATTCTATTATGTGTATCAAAATATAAAACAAAATTGTTTTTTGTCTGTAATTTAAGGAAAGAACAGTTAGGGCACTATGATTCAATCAACTTGAATTTACACAATACTGAATACAATTCAGTAGAGTTTATATTATCTGCATCTTTGTGACAAAAATGAAACCTATTCTCAATGTGTAGTGAATAGAGTACTGGTTAGTTAAGGTCAAATTACTGACTGTTTCTAATGAGAAATTGGTTTTATTTATTATAAAAAAAAAGTATCCACTATGAAGTGAAATAATTGTACATGTTATGTAAAGTATGAATCTATGGATGTCTGTTTTTTCTTGCATCAATAATTTGATGATCATGGTTTCATTAGAATGTTGTCTAAAGATTTTTTTATCAACGCAGTACTGGACTATTCTCCTAAGGACACTAAGAGCTTCTACAATTTCTTTGCGTATGGGTGGTGTCTCACTATTTTCCATTTCATCATCAGTGTCAGCCTGTTTAATTGTAATTACAGAATATTGGTTATCAGCTTATCGCCAAGCAACTAGATTTCGCCATCAACCTTGGCCCAAATTGTAACAAATAATCAATGTGTTGTTTCAATAATCTGATTGATTTTCAATGTTTTCATAAACTGTCAGTTCAACCCTGGACATTTCGAAAAACGCAATCGTTGGATCGTATCAATTAGCCATGTTTTTAATAAGGAACTGTAATATGAAATATTTTAATTTTGGCACCTATATGTATGAATATTTTTGTGGCTTGGTGCAACATGGGACAATGTCACAATTAAGTCAGATTAAAATTATTTGCAAAGGTGTGAAACTAATATGACCAATTTAAAATATATACAATTAGCTGTTCTGATTTGAATAAGGCTGTACTTGTTATAATATTGAAAAAAATGTATAAAAATACTTTTTTCGACATTGAACCTTTTTACTCACAAAATATTTTTTACACATTCTTATCCATATATTAAGAAAATCATTGTGTTAGAACATAGCAAATGTACCGTATTATAAAGAGGGAGAGATAACATCACAATTTTGATTTAGCCAAATTAAGATAAGTACATATTTTATTGTTAATAATTCAAAGGTATTTTTTTTATGTTAAAACATAATATACAATTATTAAAGGATTTTTTTGTTTTTGTTTAGTACAATATAATAATCATACATTTATTTTATTCTAAATTTCTTTTTGGAGGAAAATGGTAAAGGCCAAAGTAAAGCACATTTTTCAATATTTTAAAGTCATTAGTTTACTATGGAACCTATATTTTATATAACATGTAACAAATATTAGATCAATTAGTTATATCAGGAGAGATGTAGATAGAATTGATAATACATACTAAAAATGAGTGTTTATTTTTTATATTATTCTATTATTCAAATCATTTTTAAAAAAACAATTCATATTATCTATATATACATTTTTATTAATTTATTACCTTTCAAATAAAATAATAATATAAATATTATATATATATATACGAATTCAAATTTTAAAAATAATAACATTTTTCCCAATTTATGAATTTGAACACATTATTATAATTGTGATAATCTAACACATCAATAATTTTATTTCTGGGAGGTGTAAAACATACTATTTTTCTACTATTATTGAGTGTATTGTTTACTTCATATAATATACAATATAAACTCAATGATAATATTATGTATGAACTTTGTATAATAGCCCAGTTATTAATGGTGAATTGTTTTAAAATACTTATAACATAATAAATAAACAGTTAAAGGGCTAGGAAATTTGTCTGGAACACATTTTAACATATTCAAATGAAAAAAAAAAAATTTAATGAGATTGATATATATTTAAATGTTTTTAAAGTTAAACAATTAACATACTGTATTAATACACTACAATATTGATAATATAAAAAAATGAAAACGAATTAAAACAATGTATAAATGATTATTTTTAATGCTGTAAAAAAGGTTAGTATAATTTACAATACATAACATAAATCTTACTCGAGAGGAAAAAATAATGGTAAATATTTCTCATAATATTCTTTGTCAGAATCAAGAAATACACAGAATATTATGCGTTCAATCTGAAAAAGAAATATTAGTATATAACAAATAAATTGTGTTTACAAAAACAAAACTAATCAATAAACCAATCAAACATAATGTAGGAACAAATTGTAATTTATTTCAATAAACCCACAAAGTAAAAAAAATATAATAATATTGCTATATTTGACTATGTTAAAAGAATTTAAGAGTTCAGAAAAATGTTTAGTAGTAAAAAATTTGATAAAATATAAATGAACAAATTTTTTAATTTGTCTATCAAACAAGTAAAATAACAATTTTATTTTTAAGAACAATACTTATTGATCTGAGTATAATATAATTTAAATTATTTTTATAAATTTGAAAAGAATTACTAAGCTACCGGATTTTACAATTGAAACTTTTATTTATGAACTTAATTTTACAATAGTGATAATTCTCATATTTAATATTTACAAATAATAAAAGACCAAGAGCTCAGTTTTGGCTTATGAAAGAACATTTGGTATATTGTGCACATAGACAGATATAGAAATATCATTTGAATACTTAATTTCTCCATATGCTTTATAATATATGCTTAAGACTTTAACTATAATGATATTTTTTTTCGCTTTTTCGTTATTAAAGGTAGTTTTTGTTGAAAATATAGATTTTTAAATATGTAACATTTTATTTATGTAAAAATTTAAAATATCTTACCAAGTTATGATCATGCTCTAAAAAGTCTCTTATAGCTTTCAAGGCAACAATAGATGCTTCTTCTTGCGGATACCCTAAACGTGATTTAATACATTTAATATTTAAAATTAGAACGATATAAAAATATGTCATATTTACCATAAATGCCAGTAGAAATACACGGAAATGCCTGAAATTGATAAATTTTTTTTTTCAATAATAAAAACATAAATTTGAATTTTACTATAATACTTACAATTGTTCTTAACTTCTTTTCAACAGCTAAATCCAAACTGTTTTGATAAGCTGATTGCAGTTCATCGGAATTCTCTCCTTTTGGTCCGACTGTGTGTATGACATCTAAAACGATAAATTTAAACTATTTATAGATTGTAAATTAACAAAGGTAAGCATTTATTGTTTTCTTTTAAATTATTAACACTGAATAATTGAGTAACATCATAAAATTTAAACAGAAAATAATTTGTTGAAAATATATATTAAGTTATGCAATAAGTAATTAGCTGTAGTTACTCAACCATTTGATGAATTCATTGTTTTAGCAGAGAAAGTTTTTGAGAATATCAATTAACATTTAAATTAATGGCTATTTAAAATTAACAAAAATATATTATAATTGTTAGAAAATATTTTATAATATCAACATACAAATATAAGACATAAGATAACAAACAGGATATTGAACATTAAGCCGTCATAATATGCGTGGAAGTCAGTGTTTACATTATTGTCTAATCTTCACCATCGACATGACAATATGATAGTATTTGATATTATACTAGTTACATTTTAATAACTAGAAAAAATACTTTGTTATTTCTTTGCTATAAATGTAGTATAACGTTTTGGTCAATAAAAATAAACAAGTCATCATGTTGGTAATTTTACCATAAAACACAGAAAAAATAACAAATAAAATAGTTAAAATTAAATTTAAGCCAATAAAGTTTTTTTTAAACTTTAGAATATGATAAAATGCAACTAAATGTATTATTTAGGAGTACTAAAAAAAAACTGAAATTTATTTAGCAGAGGGACATTTTAGGAAAAATAACTTAGCTGTGAAAAGGTTAAAATTTGAGAAAAATTGTATTTATATTAAGTTAACTAAAATTATAATTTAATTTGTGTATCAGATACCATTAGTATTGTCATGCCATATTGATAAAACAATGTACATATTGTACTTCACACAAATGGTATATTCTGGTGTATAAAAAGTTGGCTATCTTGTATTCTAGTGTCCTATATTTTTGATTTACAATGTAGATAATACGGTGTGGTCCTATTCTATCTTTGATAAAGAAATTTTTGAGTCTTAACTTACTGACATTTAATGTGGGCATTGTTTGCAGGAGCTCTAAGAAGGCCAATTATTTATATAATTCTGTGTAGCGGTTTTCGCATTACAAGTTTAGGAACGAATGTAGTTTACTTCCCAATTGATGTTTTGGAAATGTATTTATATGCTCAACATGTTTGTGAAACCAAAATTTACTAAAAGTTTAATATGGTTTACTAGTAATAACATAAAAAGTAAGGAAAATAGGTTAATTCTGAATTCACTAATATGTTGGGCATATAAGTCATAACATATTTCCAAAAAATCACTTTTGGAAATAAACTGTATTATTTGTTTCTATATTTTTAATGAGCTATTTAACCGATATAGAGAATTATATAAATAATTAACCTTCTTAGCACTCTTGGTAGACAATACACTGAACACTAGATGCCATCAAATTACGATTCACTTTTTGACGTCAAGTGACTACCCATATTATTTACATTGTATTATGATTGAACCATAGACTTCATAGTTTATACTTTTAGATGGAGCACCTGGGTGTAGAAATGCAGTGACGCTGATTTTCTAGTACAAAATATAAAAAAAAAAAAAAAATTAAATTAAAACCAACCAGACATTAAAATATTTATTTGTATTTCGTTAAATTTGTGTGGAAAAAATATTGATATTTGATTATATGTTAGTTAAATATTCATGATCTATTTAGGCACTACCTGGTTTGTGCTATGCACGGAAAAATAGATAGGTATCATCAATTTTTTGATAAGCATCCTCTACTTTTTAATTCACCTACATCAAAGTTCTCCATTCCTTATTAACTGTGAATCATATACATACACAGAAAAATATAAACCAATCAGAAGTAGAGAACTACGACAACAACTAGAGGTGAAGGAGATGCACATGCTGAAAAAACTATTATAACTGTGATGGAACCTATCTATTCCGTCATGGTGCTATGCACATGCGCAGAAGTCCAGAACAACACGAGTAGAGCAGCAACCGTTTACCACAAAAACTTATACTTTGCTCCATCTATTAATATAAAGTCTACAGATTGACATCAAATAAAATACTGAAACCATTAAGATAAAAAAAATCAAAACGAAAACTTATTTATTTACAGAAATAATTACAGGTTAATTTATTTAAAATAGGTAGATTACTATGTATTTGTATAAAAAGGGTGTTCAAAAAGTTTGGAAATGGTCATTAGACTAATTATCAGAGATAAACAATAATATGGATATTATAGGTGACTAAATATTTTATTTAATAAATGAGCAGAGGAGTGTTATCTGTTGTTGCTATGTAAGTATAAAAATATGGAAACAGTAATAATTAAAGTGTTTCCAAATTGTTTGAACACCTTGTAAATAAATACATGTAATAATATTATGAATGGGGTTTTCAACTTACACTTTGCAGGGAGTTTATACCCTTTGGTGATTTTGGCACAACCCGTCTTACAACCATTTAATGTAGCACATTCTGCCTGAAGTTCTCGGCCAGCAGCCTTATGAATAGCTCCATCAACTATGAAATATTCAAATATATATTATAAATAATTAATTAAAAATATTGGCATGAGATTATTAGTTATGTGTACCTATATTAGCAAATTAATATAAAATAATTTAAATGTATTTTTACCTCCTCCACCTCCAGCTAACTTAGAGTTGGCTGCATTAACAATAACATCTATTGCTAATTTTGTAAGGTCGCCTTGATACAAAGATACTTTTTCGTTTAACTCTTTATTAAATTCCGGTTTTGGACCATCAATTGGTTTCAAAAATGCTGGTTTATCTGCAAAAGCAAGAATAACCTTAATAACTATTTTATATTTATTTAAACATAGTTAAGGTGCATATATTATACCTACAATTAAATAATAATATACAAATTAATTATTTATCTCAAATATATTATACATATCATATATATATACTTAAAAACTTTGTATGCACTATGCAGAAAATCAACTCAAAGTAAAATTATTTAGAATTTAAAGTGTCTATAGAAATGTCTATGAACGTTAAGAAATAATGAGGTAGTTTTAATGAATTATTTAGATCACATACAGTAATAAGCTGATTTTAAAGCTTGAAGTCATCAGAGTCGGAAATAATACACAATAAAAATGAGTAACTTATGCTAAATTATACGCCTCATACAAACTAAAGAGTTAACATTTTTTTTAAAATTAAATTCAAGTAAAAAAATTGAGAGGATGCCACATATGCATGTGTTGTTTCTGTCTTAAAAATTAATAATATAGCATATTTTATGTTCACAATTAGCTATGTTGTATGTTTGCAAGACGGAGACACCGCATGCATATACAGCACATAAAAACAAACGATAACACTGATATAGCAAGAATTATGGGATATGGATACATGGGCATTTTAAGAAAATATTATTTCATACTTTTTAATAGTCAATTATTTAAATGCAGTGAAAAATGTTTAAATTTAAAATCCTTTAATACGTTTTGGGTACCAATTAAATCTCCCACTTAGTATTATTGGTGTTGAATAATTGTTACCCTGGCCGTATTGCTACTCTGTATAAATGTACTGCATAATCTTGACATCTGACTAGGAACAACCAAAAATAAGTTCTGAAGTGAATCAAATAATGAGTTAATAAAAATAAAATTTGCTCAAAACGCACATCTAGGATAAATTTTCTTCACTTATTTTGAAAATGATTCAAACAATTTAATCTTACAATTAAAAAATTGACATGAAAAATATGTTAGCCATTAACATGATTGCTGTGTATTACATTTAAGTAAACTTGTTGTAACTTCGAAAAAATCTTAAAAATAGAAAAATTAATATGAATGTAAAATGAAAAATGAATTAATGTATGAAATATAGGTATTTAAATGAGAGAGCTAACAAATAAAAAACTGTTTAAAGGTAACGCTGATCAAAATAATGTTGTGCATTATTAACAAGCTTATAAAGAAAAGAAAGAAACATGCTGAAAGATACCAATTGGTATATTATGCAAGTTATGTTAAATGACATCATTTCAAGTCATCCACAGTGAATGGGTTAAGTCAAAAGTACATACTTTTATTTCAGGTGTATTTTAACATTTTATACTATACAAATATATAAAATAATATAAACAAGTTTACTTCAAACTTTTTTTTAGATTTTCTTTAAATTTGATTTAGGTATTTTTTTTTTAGTTTATAAGCAAGAGAAAATTAAAAAAATTGTTACAATTTAGTGATAAGTAAATAAAGACATTCAGATTCAAGTAATTATTTGAATGATTTTAAGCACATTAGTTAATGGTCATGATAAATTAAGTTTTATTCAATAATTATAAGTATTTAAGATTATTTTAAAAAGGATTATCTACCAATGGTTTTTTTATTCAATGAGACAACTGATTATGAAATATAGAATATCACATCAAGAAGTGACTATTTTTTATGAACAATTTTCTTTAATGCATCCTCTGCCGATTCCAAATAATTAAGCTAGTAACAACAATAAGAAATAATATTTACAAGTGTAATTTTTATTTTTCTAATAAAATATATTTAGTGATAACAGGTACCAATTTCATTTCATAAAATCATGGCCCAAAATTTCATTATCTTTTACCTACATTTATGATTATCTATTGTTATGACTTATGTTTAGGTATGTTTTTCTACGTCCAAGACGTAAGTCCTGAGATTATGATGTATTATCATTATTAAAATTTAAAAGGCTTTGGTGACTATAGGTAAGCAGTTCCTCCTATGAGAGATCTTTTTCAAACTTGGTTTGGTGAAAACAAAATTATGAAATAAACAAGATAGGAAGCAATAATGACAATTTTTAAAGTGCTAGAATTAGCATCACACGTAAATCACAAGGATGCAATTACTTAATAGTGTGCTTAAGAATCTACCTATGTCTTTCAACTGATGATAAGAACTTAAATATAAAATTATAAAAATAAATAACAGATTATATTTTTAGACGTTCATCTTGACATATTTTCTTATATTATATACTTTATAACTGTATACAAATACATTGAAAAATATATTATTATTCTTGTTCTTTTGAGATGTGTTGTTTATAAAATATATTTTCTACTTGAATTACGGAATTGTAATTTTGTATAATTACGTAGCTATTATAAAATACAACTAGTAGTTACAATGATAAACAAAAACATATTGTACCTACACAACAAATCAAACACACTACCGTTCAGCTATCTTTGAATTTTTTTAAATGTATGTTTTTTTCTTCTATCAATTACTTGTATGACAATGCTAACTATAATAAGTCCAATTAAATAGAGATAATATGTTTGAACAAAAACACAAATATTCCTTCTTGTTCAGACAATATCAATGTTTCATTGCAAATCAGAAACACTTGACATTTGAATACCACACGTATCATAAATATTTTGTCGGTGAACGAGCACATATCGACAACTTTAATAATAGTTAAAAATAATAATAATAATAATAGACCTAATAGAGTAACCCTCGTGCCTCATAACCTCTAAAATTTCTAAAGCGAATCTGTTAGGTACTTAGGATTTTTTGAGAAACCAAAGTTCCGAATCCATCGTAAGTCGATGGGGAAAAGACCGCGAGAACCGCGATTCGGGACCAATCGGTTTCGCGTAGGCACAAACGACGCAATTTAGCAACGCGTGGGGACAGGCGGCCGGGGCGGGGATAGACATTTCCAAAATATTACGGATGTGATCCTTACTCGTGCTGTTCAAGACCTTTCTAAAGTATTCCGGCCATGGTAAAATGGATTCCAAGTTAACCGTAGCCATTTCACGGGAAATCCGAACAAAATAATTGTTGGCGGCGAAAAGACGGCCGGGCACCAGCGCAGCAGCGAAACAGACCAAACTCCAACAGGACGCCGACAACGGACAAATACACGATGCGAGCGGCGGCAACAGCAGCAACAGCGACAGTGACGGAAACCGGAAACCGTCGTCGTCGAGTGGGAACAGATTGACCAGAACCGCCGCGGAGTAGGCTGACGAAATTGATGTAATAACCGCAGTAATACAACTTACAAGGTGGTACAATACCTCCACGAAAGTATAATCTAATAATCGGTTACTATTATTATTACTATTATATTTACTGTCGGCCGGGACGGATGGAGTCGACGCGAGCCGATACGACACGAGAATAGCGACGCGAAGCGGATTGAAACGACAACGAATGCGGAATAATGATGATAATAATAGTAATAATATAATATTATTATAATGCTTCGCAGACTTGGGTATATTATTTTATACGACGACGGTGTACGAAAACATCATAACCATTACAATTTTTTTTGTTAATAAACAATATTGGGCAATTTATCGTGAAATTCCCCGATAACGGAGGGTTATCGCACTGATAACCTGCGACGTCGCAGTAGTCGATCCCGCAAAGCAGTCGGTCGACGCGGGAAGCAGTGGATAATTTTCTACTGTCACTAGTGCTACCGACGACTACTGCGAATGTCGTTAAGGACGACGTCTTATCTCGGACCATAAAAGTGATAACGTCGATGACGACGACCCCCCGGACGTCAGGCCAATACGCCAGTTCCACAATCACAAGTCAGTAGTCACAACATATTTTGCCGTAGCACACGGAACATTGTAGTTGTCGGCTTGTCGCCAGTCGCTCCATTGAATGCACGGACGTCGTCATACGATAGCAGTAATATCATTTGGTTTTATCATACTCTGGCGATAACCGACGCGGCGTCGCATTCGCTTTTTAATTTCACCCAACGACTGTGAAAACAATTCATCGACAGCATCAGTGGTGGTTCAGACCTGTTCGCGACCCGTTTTCATCCCGTTTGTCGACGGACCCGTACACACTCGCCCCTAAGCTCCACCCGCCCACGCACGACCGCCCTCTTCGACCATGGTGAGTCCATATATTAATGCCGCCGACACGCTTGCTCATTAGATCATTGTTATTATTTGTATTGCACCGAATTATTGATTTTTCTCTCGAGTACTTGAGCCCCCTCTGTAAGTACTGAGTAGGCTGACGACATGCTTAGGTAGGCGTAATTTCGTTGTACTATAGCTGCAGGGAAACAAGCCTTTGAATTTCCCTGATAATATCTAGATTTATAATAGTGTTGACTACGTAGCAGCCGCGAATAATAATAATAATAGTAAAAAAAAAAGAAGTACTGATTACATTATACAATTTCATTCTGAGGACCTTTTATCTACTAAGACTGTGATAGATACTAATACCTATAATTGCCAAATATGGATAGGTATATATTATCTGTACATGTTTTTAAAAATAGTTATAGGACTTACATTCATATATTTGAATAAATAAATAAATATAGTCTACCTATACTTATATTAATTCAAAACGATTAATAGAATAGGTACATGTTTGACACATCAATCTACAATCTGACCAGGTAGAAAGTCGTTTAATTTTGAAAAAATGTATTAAGTGGAAAAATTATAAAAAAATTATTTTTATCTACATATTAAAATGCAGAGGCCTACATATTTCTTCAAAATATCTAAAAATCAACTTACTGACATTCAAGGTATTGAGTTTCCAATGTAGTTTGGGATGTACTTAATATTGTCATAAAATGATTTCTGACAATAATTTTTCTCAGCTTAAAATCTGCAAGTGTATTGCGTTAAACCTACAAGATTATGCTCGTTTATAAAATAAACAATAAATATGCATATTGTTAACAAAAAACAAAAGCACAGAAGTCAAATAAATTCAAAACAAACACCTTGATCACTCACGTCTCATTTGTCAACTATAATCTGTCACTCATAAATTGGTACTTGGTAGGTACTAAACTATTAAATTCTATTATTTTCTGGCTATAAGGTCCTATATAATAGCGTATATTGGTGATAAGTGCCAAAAGTGAACACCTAAACATAAAATGACTAATAATGACTTTTTAGTAGTTTAGAAACAAGGAAGACCTTAGTCTGCTGATGTTACCTGTCACTGCCTGTATATTATATTTGACACATTGATACCTACTGTATTATGTACTTATGTATCATCTTTCATCATAGACACTTTAATCTTTGATACCTAATACCTATACAGTTTTTAAACATTTGCAAAACCAATTTTTATTTTTTTTAAACTTGCACTTAGATGCATATTTTTTAGATTATTGTGTATCATTAATTTAACCAGAAAATTATATAGGTTTTGGTAATATTTAACTTTTTTCATTTATTCAACTTTATTTTATATTATTAGGGAATACATTTATATGCTTAAAAATCTTTCAAAATATGATTTAAAAAATATTATAATACAGAATCAGAAATTTATGTTTATTTTTAAATAATGAATGCACTTCAAATTAAAAAAACATGCATATTGGATTTTAAAAGTTATAAATATGTACCTAGTTGATATTAGTTGTAATACATTCAACTATTAGGTAATAATTTATTATTTCCAAAGTAATAAATAATAATTATCCGACCATATATAATTGTATTGATATTAATTGTGAACTGCAAATAAAGTATACTTTATTATAAGCTGGGATGTTGTTACATCAGGTTTAAAAATAGTTCTTATTCCAAAATGTAATAATAATATAATAAGCTATAACTAAAGGGTACTTTTCTGTTATCCCTACCTTCGATGTGTGACTACCGTAACTACTCAATTCTGTTATATCGACTACTATAGTACTATCCAAATAGTTCTATATTTTAATACATAAAACACATGAATTGCAATTTATATAATAATGTGTATTAGTAAATATTTTAATATTAGTTATTATCACAAAACTTCAAATTATAAATTATAAAATTATCACAGCAGTGGAAAGTCCTATTTTAAAAATTATAATGTTAAACATAAAATCATCAAAATTATCACAAAATAATTATGATATTAAAAATTAAGTAGAAAAATAAAAATAAATTATCACAGATGCATAAGTCTAAAATTCTATTTTTTGTGACCAATTTTCAGGAATAGTTTTAATATGTTATCGAATGGTTTTCCTTCAATGTTTTGTCTCCAGATAATTTCCGTCAAATAGGGACTTCAAATGATGGTGTCTGGTTCCCCTATACTTTTTATTTCTCCATTTAGAGTAGCCCCAAACTCGTTCAATATGCTGAGTATGGATCCCAGTAACTGTGTCAACACAGTTATGAGAGTGATTGATTGTACCATGTTTGTATCCGGCTCTAGTTAGTTTGTGTGTATCATATCCACGCTAACAGTCTGAATGTATGGTACCCTTATATATTGTTTTATTACAGTTGAAAGTCTTTCCTTTGTACGATTAGGAACTTTAATTAGAAATGTCTCTCTTATTTCCGACAAATGACTCCAAATATCTTTGGGGTAATATCCTTCCAGAATTGTTGTTTCTTTTTGAAACATACTCTTGTCGATTTCAACAATTTTCCTGGTTCTCTGATTTTGACTAATTATTATCATACACACTTCACGCATGTAATTATTCAAATCGACAATCGTACAATGACTCATATCCAAGTGCTTTTCACAAGATTTAACAGAGGTCAATTCTGCACTCCAACTATATATAAATCGGAGCATTGTTAAAAAAGAGACGATTATTTTCAAACTAATTACCCATAGGAGTAGTAGTGTTCACACAGATCCTCCTCTGCTGTCGGTTCAAACGAAAAAAAAAAAAAAAAGAAAACTAATTACCCATACCCATATTGGTTCTACGCTGACCGTCTTGACATTGCATTTCCAAAAAATTTCTTTTTGGCTGATGTATAGTTTTTATTTATGACCGTTTTTCTATTCACAGTGTCTCTGAAGTAAACCCGTCTCTTGAAAAAATTCAAGAGCATCTTTTTCACTGTTCTGTAGATTCCACAGAGTCATAATTATTTTAAAATTAATAAATACAGCAACGTTGGCAACAGGCAATCAAGCAAACTGTAGTTGTGGTATTGGCTCGGTAGTCGAAATAACAGAATGGAGACTCGCTGTAGTATGGATAATAGAAAAGTACCAACTAAAGTATGCACTTTAAAATTATAATTATGCATTAAAAAGGTTGAATATATTGTAAAATATATAAAATTAAATTGATTTTATGTTATAAAGATGATTAAAATTGGTAGATTTTTCAAATAACTTATTTGAATAAATATATGCATTTACAAATAAACACATTCCGTAATAATACTCCTAACAAATTAATATCATAATATTTTAAAATGGTCTTTTTATTTCACAATTGTAGCATACTTATTATTTAATTTAAGCAAATAAAAATAAAATACTTTGCTTAATTGTTTAAATAACCTTAATAGACCTTTAATAGATTAATTAATGAAATCTATGTTATAGCTGATATGAAAATAATTTAAGTTAGCACTATAATATTTAAATTAATATTCCCATTTTGAATGATTAAACTGATAAATTTTACTAGTTTTAATGTACCTAAATATGTTAAAATACCAATTAATAATTGAAAGATGTGTTTGATTTTTTTTTGTTATTGAGATTTGAATATTACCTGAGTTATTTTAACTCAAATTATTGTTTAGATGTTAACTCTTAAATCTTCAAAAACATCAGATCTTAACCCCTCGAAATCAGTTTTACATAGTTTTTTTTCAATAAATGTTTTATAAAGTAAATTTGAATGTACATATTTATTTTTTTAATTTAATCATAGATCTAAAATAAACAAATAATTATTAATATGTTAGTGGTTTGAGCTATGGTTTGAGGGAGTTGTTGGTTTTATAAAGACTTGTATATTTTATAGCTTTAAAATACTAAACAAAAGTATGTGCACTTTGTAGCATATGAACTAAATACAATACTTCAACAAGTCACTTTCCAAAATCCCAAATAATTTTTATGAAAAAAATAATAAAGTGTTAAGAGTAGGCACTCTATACATTATTTAAAAATAATTATTTTTTTGAAAATTGGAAAGACTAGGCATTATTACTAAGGCTAAAATAGTTTTTAGAAAACCATAATATCAATTTTTAGATTACTGAAAATAATTATTGGTTTATTTCATTGTTTATCTATTCTAAAATTCAGTTTAAAATAATGTGTTAAACTAAGTAGTTGATTCAGAAATGGGCTATTGTTAATTATTCAAACCTATGATCCTGAAACTCACAAATAGATCACTCGGTCCACTGAGGTTTTCATCATCACTAATCCAATACACACCTATCTATGTATATGTATGAGTGCGTGCGTTATGGGTAGGGTGATACCATATCATTATAAGGACCCGTAATTTATAGTATTGATAGATTATATAAAAATGTAGTCATAAAATTGTATTATTGTTATAATTTTACACAATGCCTAGATATTAGTCTTTCATTTTTTTCTTTAATAAATTAGTCATAATGTTCACAATATGAATTATAAATATAAACTTTTATGTTGAGTGTTTACAACCACTTAATGATTGTTATGCTTTATTTAAATTCACTGAGAACTTATGATATTATATACATTGAAACAATAAATTAATTAATTAATACCTAATAAAATTATTTTTAACATAAACATAATGTTATTATACTTAAATTATTCACATTTTTTAATGTTAGGGTTTTGATCACTTTTATTTGACATATAACATATTATTACATCGTTTCTAGAAAGTATCATTGTAATCAAATATTGTAGGTTGCTATTGTTATTAATCTTGTGTTAAAGGTTTCTAAGTTTAAAAGGTGTTAAGTTTTAATATTAATTTGTTGTGGTCAACTGTTGATTTTATAGTATTTGATTAAACATCATCAACCCATTAATGAGTCACGAGTGGAATACTGTATTGCATTATGCTGTATTTATCTGATGGGGGTGGGGAGGGCGTGAAATATTTGTAAATATTTATTTAATTTATAAGCCATTCA